GAACAGAGCTGGGATTTGGGGGGGTGGGAGGTGGGGCCGGAGGCAGCCTGGCTGCTACTCGTGTCCTGTGTGTGTGTAGATGTGCTTGTTTTGTGTACATATGTGGCTTTGTGTACCTCTGGGCGGTCCTCAGCACATGTCTCTTCTGACATGTGTGTGCATGCACATCTACATATGTCTGCATGTCAAGGCATTGAGAAGGATCATGCTGGTGGCTGTGAGATTAGGGAGTGGAAGCGGGGCCCTCTCAGAGAGCCCTGTAGGCATGGAGGCTTTCCGGCTCCGCAGGCTGGCTGAGTGTGCGGGGGGATTCCGTGGAGAGAGCAGAGGCTCCACCTGGGAGTCAGGGCCCTGGTCCTGGGAACCCTTCTGCGAATCACCAGGATACCCTGGCTCCGGAAGTCCTCAGGATGCCTTGAGTGTCCCCTCAAGGGACAGGCTGGATTTGAAGTCTGAGCACCATTCGAACTCTCCCAGGGCCGGCACTGGCTGCACACATGCACCCTGTGTGTTCTCGTCTCTGCGTCCTGTGTCACACGTGCCCTCCTTCATATATCCTTGCTCCCCGAGGCAAGGACTGAAGCCCTGCCACCTGCCGATGGCCAAGTCCAGTCTCCTTGTTTCAATCCCAAGGCCTCAAGCCCTGGCCACAGTCCGCCCCAGCCTGGCAGTGTGGTCCTTGCCGTGCATGAAACCACCTTGCTGCTTCTGGCCTGTGCAGCATCTTTGGGGCTTGAGGGTGTCTTGTGTTAGCCCTTGAGGCCGCTGCTCACCCCTGGCATGGTGTCTGGCCGGTGGAACTCCAGGAAGGGCTGCGCTCTGTTCTCCCCTGACCCTGACCCTGGTCCTGACCCCCAGGCTTGCCTCTAAACCCTGCTCTTTGCTCTTTGCCTATAAGACCCTGCAGTTTGCAGCTTCCCTGCCTGCGCCAGTGGCATGACCATCGGCTCCAGTCCTGTCCTGTCCTGCCCTCAGCCCTAGGGCTGAGTTAGGGGTTGCTGGGACCTCCCAGACCCTCAGCCCCCCTCTCAAGTCCCTCCGGTGATGCTGTGCTGGAGGCTGGTGACTCCATCTCCTCCCTTCTTTCTCCCTCTCTGTGGTTCTTTCAGATGTGGTGACCAAGCCTGATTGCAACTGCCTGTACCCCAAAGCCACCCCTAGCAGTGACCTGGCCTCTGTCTCCCCTCAGCAGCCCCCTGCTCCCTCCATGGCCCCTATGGCTGGCTTGCCCGGGGCTGACTCCGAGGGGACAGAGAACAGCTCCCTCTTACCCAGGGAGCAGCCCCTTCACATAGCGGACCTCGGCGGTGCCAAGCAGCGACCACCCAGGAGCACCTGCCAAAGCCTTGAGCCACCAGAGACCTTGGGTGTCGAGGGAGGTTCATCTGAGCCCCACCCCTCTGTCGGGGCCCCCGTCTCTGGGATGGAGGATGTTCTTGACTCCATGTTGAGCACTAACTGGGCCCTAGAAGAGGCCTCTGGAGAAGCTAGTGAGGGTCCTGTACCCCGAGAGCCAGAGCCTCCCTCCTCCAGGCTGAGAGGAGGCCGCGTCCGGGTAGAGATCACCAGACCCAGCGACCTCGTCTCAGCATCTCTGTTCCTGGGATCGGCTGAGGGCCAGCAGCAAGCGGATGGACCTGACACCCCCGTGCCCACAGTGGACCCTGTGAGACCCACTGGCCAGGCCCGGAGTCACACACCTGAGAAGACAGACCTTCCCTCTGTGCCACCCAGAGACCGCCAGAAGCCAGGCTCTGCCAGGACCCTGTTACTGCGCCCCAGAGGCCTCAGCCATTCACCCACCCTCACTGCTCAGCCAAGGCTCCCCAGCAGCCGCACCTGGGACAACATGCTGTCCCTCGGGGAGCTGCAGGGCAAGAGGAGCACCAGGGAGCGGAGGAGCACCGCAGGGCAGGAAGCAGAACCAGCAAGTGAGGGGGTGGCCGTGCCCCAGGCCCAGTTTAACTCGGTTCCTTTGACAGCAGGCCAGGTGCAGCAGCCCCTGCTCCCCCAGCACCCCCAGCACCCCCAGCTCCGCAGCATTGTCTTCCGCCTGCTGGTGCCCTGCGGTGTTGTCGGCATCATCCTGGTCCTGCTGGTTGTCGGGGTCCTGCTGCTCTACAGGCGGAGGCGGCGGGTAAGAAGAGCCCAATGGCCAAGAGGCGGCCACCTCAGGGGGACAGTGGCACAGCCGGGTGGAGGAGCAGGCCCAGCTGGTGGCAGGCTGGCTGGGGTCCAGTGTGGGTTCTTCAGACGCTCAGATAGGAGGCTGGCTGAGCACAGAGACGGGAGGTTGACCTGGAGGGTGTCTTCAAGTTTGGAGAGGGGGGCTCAGGATGTAAGGTCAACCGGAAGGGCCTGGCAGCAGGGAGGGGGAGAGAATATTCCTGGGCTGGAAGCAGGTGAGAGGAAAGTGATGCTGTGTGGGCCAGGGCAGGGCATTCCCTGGGAGCTCTGCAGAGCCAGGGCTGGGGGTCCCAGGGATAGGAGACAGCCTGCATGGGTGGAGGAGATGGGGCATCGCCTGCAGGGAGGCCTCAGGAAGCTCCCCGGGCTGTGGCTGACCCCCACTTCTGGGTAGTTAGGGGAGACTTTGGTAATTCTTTCATTGACTCCTGGACAGCCCTGCCTGGGGACAGGGCCATGGTCCCCCAGCCTCCCCAGCTCCTCAGTGAGCCTGCTCTTTTCTGTCCCCAGAGCCATCGAGAACCTCAGACAGTGGCTTCTCCCATGGAACAACCAGAGGGCAGGTGAGAGTTTGGGCTGGGGTGGCTCTGTAGGCACCGCAGGCCTGTCTTGGCATCTGTTTCCCTTCTAGATTTGGGGGAGACTTTCTCCCACCTGCTCGGAGGCAGTGGAGCTCGGAACAGACCGGGGTGGGTGGAGAGGAGAAAGGGTGTCTTCTTTCCTAGATAACTGTTTTTTTCCCCTGATTTCTTCGTAAGGTCAGGCAGTTCTGGGTCTCCTAAACTTGAGAGGGGTAGAGCTTGTGTGGGAGCTGGGGGGCACAGTTGGGGGGTTTCCTCACTCCCCGGGCTCTGCTGGAGTCTGACGTCAGCCCTGTGCTCTGCCTGCAGCTCCCTGACCCAGGATCAGGACAGACAGGTGGAAATGGCAGTGTAGAGGGAAGTCTAAGGTAAGCCTCCGGTTTTGGATCTCTGTCCACCCCTTAAAATTAGCTGCATCCCTTTCCAGTCACCCTAACTTGGGGATACCACCAGCTCCCCGAGGCCCACACACTTGCCTCGCACCCCCACCTCCTCTTTCCATCCATGGCCGGGGCTGGCCGACCCCGTCCTTTCCGGGTCCTCAGGCCCCTCCGTCCCCTCTGCCCATCTGAGGCCTGGCACTGCTCCGTCTGCGGTGGGTTGTCTTTCCTGCCGTGGGCTTCTGGTCTCGCTGCAGCCGCCCTCACCAGAGCCCCCAGACCCGCACTGCCAGCCACTTCAACCCACCCTCTCCGCTCCGCTCCCGGGCTCCGCCAGCAGCTGCCGCCCCACACGCCTCTCGCAGTTTCCTCTCTGCTTGCACCTTGGTCGGGCCCTTTTCCCAGCCGAGATGATTCCTGCCCCTCTGCTTTTCCATTCAGGGAGCCGTAGAACCTTAGTCTTGGAAGGGCTCTCAGAGGCCATTTGACCTAGAGTCCCACCCCGAAGGGGCCTCCCCTCTCTGCCTCCCTGACCCGGAGTCACCCAGCTTCCGATCATACACTCTGAGGGCCAGGCAAGCTCTCTGCCACCCCCCAGTAGCACCGTGAGGAAGCCCTTCCTTGTGCGGGGTCTAACTGGCTTTTCTGCCGCCTCCCCCCCCATGATGGTCCTCCGTCCTATTGTTGGGAGAGCCCTCCAGTACCTAAAGTCAGTTATCCAAGTCCCCTTTATGAATTCTCTAAGCTAAGTGTGGCCAAGTCCCTCAAACATTCCTTATATGATATGGTTTTCAGACCCCTCACCATCCTGGTCGCCCTCCTTTGGACACACTCGTTTGTCAATGTCCCTCTGAAAGTGTGGCGCCCAGCCCTGGACACAGTGCTCCAGACGTTGTCTGACCAGCTCAGAGTACAGTGGGACTGTTACCTTCCTTGATCTGGACAGTATTCTGCTATTCGTACACATTAAGATCGCATTAGCTTTTTGGATTTTTTTTTAAACAACTGCATCGTAGTGTTGTCTTATATTTAGCTTGTGGTCTATTAAAACCCCTAGTTCCCTTTCCCATAAACCTCCGTCAAGCCAGACCTCGATCCTGTACCTGGACAGCTTCATTGTTTTAACCAAAGGGCAAGAGTTTATATATTCATCCTTGTGAAAACCACCACTTTGGTTTCCGCCCATCACCCCAGCCTACTGAAATGGTTTCCCATCCTAATTCTGTCTTCCTGGCCCTCCCGAGTGTGTCTTCCTCACGTGGACGGGTGCCTTCTGCTGCCCACATTGATAAAGATGTGACCCTCATTTCTCCTTGCCCCTGGCTCCCGGGCCGTGCAGCCCTGCCCTCCCCC